TTATTATGTTGCTGCTAGAGATGTTAAATTCAGTTTGACCAATTTGGATTTTAAATAGATATTAGTCATTTACCAGTATAACTAACCTATTCATTAACACAAGGACACCAATGTTATTTTTTCTGCCAGTCACCATTTTGTGATATTTCTTCTCGTGTAATATTAGTTTTTTATCAGCATTGAGGAATATTATCTTTGCATAACTGAAGAGATAACATCCTGTATTTCTATTTCAGATTTACACTGGATTAAAAAGCAGCTTTAATGCATAAGGAATCATATCATCTGAATTGAATGAATGGTGAAAAGTATTTTATTGTAATGAGAATTCTTTTTTATTGAAATGAGAATATATTTTAAATATGTGGTGGAATGTAATATTACTTTTCTCATATGATCTTTGGAGATTGTTTTCTTTCTTTTTCTTTCCTCTTGTTTGGGAGGGGGGCTAACACAAAGGATAGATACAGGAGAGAGAGAAAGAGAGAGGGACAGAGGCTATTTCCAGGTCAAAACCTGTGATTTATCCTATTCTATCAAAAACATGCAACTTAGAATTAAATAATACAGAAACAGATTAGCATTTTGATATTTATCTTTAATTCCTTTATTTCTTGTAGTTATTCATGCCATGGATATTGCAATGAATAATAATAATAATAGCAGTTCAGAAGTATTTGTTGAAAATATATTTATTTTGTATTTGTTTGTATACATATAATTGAATGGATAAATAAATCAGAAAAGTGAAATAAATCAGAATAGTAAAATAAATCAGAATTAAGTGAATAAGGCTGTGTAATAATTTGGAATTTGAAAGAAAACATTTTAAATCATATTCAGTAAAATGTAAATCACCGGACTTATCTAATGATGTTTAACGATTGTTTTATTAAAGATATATGTAATATGATCATCACACAGTTCTACTAATTTCCCATGTAAAGTCATAATTAAAAGAGTAAGTGAATGGACATTTCCTGTATTTAGCTACCTTCTGTTAAAAAGGTGTAGTATTTCTTAACAAGTAATTAGTAGTAGTTGGAAGAATCAATTTATGTTTTACCGAATCACCGCTGGACATACTTGAAAAAACAAGTCTGTTCTTCAGTCCTGATAGGAAGAAAAACAAATTCCTTTAATCGAACAGACTCACACAAAGTAAATGTACATGAATGAAAACCAATGTTAAAATCAAAATTCTGAAATCAATAAGATATTCATGAGTAAAAAAAAGAAATATAGAAATCTATAGTTTATGTATAACACCAGCTTGGCACTTCAGCACGACTAGCGCTAAAAGGAAACATTATCTGTGAAAGCACGTAATACAAGTATCTATTCATCTCATTTTTTTCATTCAAATTAATATTTTATACTATGATAGACAGTTTCTAATGTTAATGTCTCAATAAAATAATCAAACAACATCTTTTGATTAGATATATGTTATATTCTGAATAAATGATATTTTATTATTATATGTATAAGTATGTACACGCAGTGTAATGTTTTATATCTAGATCTTTTATGACAGGATTTTATCCCATTGAAACTTAATTCAAGTTTACTAGTAGCACTGTTTCTGAGTTCTGTCAGTCAGTTGAAAAGTTTGATGATATAATTTGATTTTTTAACAGAGTCCCTGTTCATTTTTTTAAATATTCTTCAGATTACTTTTAAATGTCTGTTTCTTATGTATGAGTCGTGCCTGTAACTGGCGGTTTTACCGTAGACTCTCCTGCTGTGAATGCTCCAATAGCGTTATTCTTCACACACTTTTTACAAAATAACGAAGTCACTTCACGACGAAATTTAGGCGATGTTAGGGAATATAGAATGAAATTCAATGCACTGTTGAGATATTGAAACATATTAACAAGGGCGAAGTGGAGGTCCTTGTTGGCAACTGTCGGCACGTCATCAGCCTGGTACCATGTTCCAGTGAAGGCTAAATAAAGGGCTAGAGGTGCAGTGAATATCAAGAACATTAGCGTAACACCAAATAAGGTAATGGTTGTAGACGTGGCACTGATGCCTTTAGTAGATTTCACTGTCGATTTATGCTTTAACAGAAAGAGCTTAATGACAATCAAGCCATTCAGCATCAGCATGATGATAAACGGCACAAACGATCCAACCCACATGTGGATTTTTCGCCAGATGAATGGAAATTCTTTATCCTTCGCTCTGCAGAATCTGAACTCTCTGAATGGAGGAAAGGGTAGCTTCAGGATGTTTAGTTTGTATGTCCAGAAGAAATGCCCGTTTAGAATAATAAGGAGAACTGCTGTTGAGATAACACAGACGACCACAGTTAACCGTCTACATATGCGTTTCGACTTGAGGGGGAAATAAACTGCGACGAGACGTTCTACAGTGAAGCAGACGATAATCCATGCAGACATATGAAGAGAATAGTAGACCATGAATATGTGAAATCTACAGCCAGTTTCTGATAAGACACGAATGTCAGTATGTATGTACGACTCTGTTTCACCGTCCCATATTCCAATCCTACGTATCCACTGTCTTAAGAGTCCTGTATAGAGAACGCAGAAGTCACTGACTGCCAGGCAGATTAGATAAATGCTTGACATGGATGTGCGCATTGCTTTCCGTGTCAGCACAAAAATAACTAGTCCATTCCCCAATGTTCCAATCAGAAGAATTACAGGAGATAAATAGAGCCATAAATTCTCCGCATGTATTTCATTGGGCATATCCTCCAGCTTTACCATTTTGGATTGTTTCTAGTTAGTTTCAATATAAATACCTTATATTTTGTCAATGTTGATCTTGTTATCTTCTGTTGCCTTCTTCACTTTGTGTTTGCCTAATTTTCTTTTAAGTCAACAGAGTATCTGATCATTTGGAATCCTATTCATCAGTCACGAAGCAACTGGAAAATCTTTAACTGTCTATTTAGTCTGATGTGCAGCTGGCATCCATGCAACTTTCATCTATTGTCACTTATGTAAAGTTGGTTTATATCAAACAACCAGTCAGTCGAAAAGTTTCAGTTGTATAAACTTATGAATCAATATCTTGTTTAATTACGACTTTTTATTATTTCATAAGTTCCATATACTGGAATAATTTGAATGTTTGCTGTGAAGTTTCTTTATTCTTGCTTTATATTCTCTATTGTCTGTTTTGTTTTGTTATTTATACTGGTTGCCTTAGTTTCCCGGAGGTATGCTTCTGTAGCATGCAATGTCCATTCCGTGTGAGCTCTGAGAAACCAAATAAGGCTCCAGCTTATAACTTCTCCTCACAATCAATCAGATGCTGCCAATTTGTTGTCTCACTTGCTACTATGGTTACGCTTAAAATATTCTATTATCATCACAGCTTTACATTTGAATTATTATGTTTATAAGCATTATACAATCATAATTCTATATCCGCATCTTTCATTCAGAATTTATAATGAAGCTGAGTTTTTATCTACTTCAAATCAGAGTTTAATAAAACGTGTCATTGATTACTCAATATGTATTGACAGAATCTCACATCAAAGATTTTTTAAGCTAACATTTGCCATGCGAACTAAACAATTAAATTGATGCGAATCGTGTGATAAAAAATCAATAATTACTAGTCAAGGGATTAATTTTTACCAAGATCATTTGATAATGTTATACATGACTGTATTTTTGTGCAGCTAGGTGAAGAACAATTTACTGGTAGTTTGGTTAATTTGATCTAGTTGCATTTTTAATTACATTGAAAGGTGGATATTGTTGTTGTAAAGGTTCAGCGAGTTTTGAGCACTTCAATATCCTGACCTTTAACATTAAAACACATGTTCAGAAGGTTCAAGGAATGGGCATACCATCTATCCATTCCTCGTTTCATGTCACCCTCATAGAAACACAAAAAACATAAGTAAGAATAAACCGTCTCTGATCAGAAAATATTGTTGATAATATTAATGTATGTCAATGTACATTATAAATGTATATATATTTTTAATTAAATGAATCTTCATTGATACAGTTGATAAATTACAGGGAAACTTCCACAATGTATTTATGTACATAACCTTTAAATTATTCATTGTTGCAATAAAGGACTATTTATTACATGATCTTCCACTTTCCCTGCTTAATGAACATCTTACAAGCTTATGTCGGCGATCTTAACTGCCGTAAGAAGTGTTTTAGTAATTTAATTGCCATCTTTAAGAAGATTTAGTTGTTATTTTTAGATAGTTCATCTACTTGTAAGAGATTTCTCAAAAAGGTGATCATCTATCTAGATGTAAATGTTACACTAATGGGATTTTTAACAGATAGGTTTAATATTTATTTAAGAAGGGATAAAGCGGATATTCTCGTGCCGTTCGTCATACTAAAAGACATGATAGTTTATCTGTGTTATTAAAAAAAGATTGAATATATCATTATAGCAGAATTATCTCCTTGATTCTGTTTCAAAGTATCTTATCCAGCTAATCTACCTTAATGTTATTAACTTAGTACTATACGTAAATCAATTTAAATAGGTGAATGCAATAGCTTGTTACAAGCAAGAGCATCATTTCAGTTATAAAACCAGGAACATTATAAGATTTAAAGAAATTATAAAACTTACAAAATATCTATCAGTCATAGTTCTACTTCTTCTATAGCTCTATGATAATTTACAATATTTTTATTTTTTATTTAATTTGAAGAGATTCCATTCAGGAAATAATTATCAACCTCACATTTTTGGTAAAAGATCATTTGAAATCTATTTAAAACTAACAAAGTTTGAGAAAAAACAAGAATAGACAAAGGACATCAAATAATCAGAAAATACACAAAAATCACTAATTTTAACCAAATCACCAAAATCCAAGTGTAAAAGTATGTACAGAATTTATAGATAATATATTTATGTCACCACCAAGGAACAGTTTGTCATGTTATTGATATGTAAAGGATGTTATTTATGGATTCCCCATCTGCACTTACTCAATGTTACTCAATGTTTGTTCCTTCTGCTTTAAGGAAAATGATGAGCTAACATTCTGTAGCGTCAATTGTTGTATGCAGTTCTCTGTCACTCACAGGTCACAGAACGCAGACAAACAGGTAAATCACAGTTCTTATTGCATACTGATCTCCTCTCTGTTTTGATAGCACCCATCTGAAAAACATTTACACCTACATGGAAATAAATGAGCTAAAAATATGAAAAATAGTCAGAGTATTGACTTCCTTTCGTCTTCTTAAGGAAACCATTTTGGTAACCGCTGTACAATATATAGCCAAAAATTGAAGAAATAACTCTCAATAAGAATCAGAAATGTCATGAGCACTTCTAGGATCAGAAGATGAATTTTCATGAGACATTGTTTGCTCATTTTTATGATAATACAGGTTCATATTTCTGAAAAAATATAAGTGGTCTTATTTTTGTCTAGAAGGAAAGTGGTGATCTAGTTGAACATAGAAGTAGCGATGAACAAGAAAAGGATCGCGATGATGATCATGATAGTGACTATAGACCACCAAAAGGTGTCACTAGTGATATTTCTATATCTCCCGTCTCCACGTCAACCATTCCATCTGCTGTCTCACCTTTGACCCCTGGAGTGACCTTGACCACAGTCCAGGCCACCCCAACTGAGCCAAATAAGGTCCCACCTTTGATCATCAAAGTTGCGAATAGGAGTAGAAGACGAAGCAGCAGTGTAGACTCTATGATGTCACAATCAAAGGTATTTTTAACCCTTTCTATAAGGATTAACACGATTGAATCGATTTTAATTAGGATTAAACATAAATATAAGATCACCATAACAACGAATAAATATCCTATCATAACTGATAAAAATGATGATTGATTATTCTCATGAAATGTCATTTTAAGAACAAGGTTAATGAAAATAAAGATGATTTAATAATATGATAAGACCTTATTTTGAGAACCCATCTTCACTTTGGAATGTCAATAGTGTTGCTCACAATTGAATCAAACATAAACAAAATTGTAAAAATAAATATACTTGTGACACTGTTAGGATGTTTACTTTTGAATTATTAATTTTTAGGTTGTTACTAAGAAATGGAAGGGTAAAAGATATAAAAGATGGGACCCCAGTATGGCAAGATATGAAAAACAAGTCCACCCACCATCCAAAAAGGAGTTGCATGAAGTAAGTGAAACATTCCCAGATACCCAGAAATTCTCACTTTGTCACGTTATGTGTAAAGTAGGTCATGCTGTGAAAACATAATTGTGCTTTCTACCCATTAATCATATCACAAATGAAGGTTTATATTGCATGCTTCAGAGCATGTGTTTGTAGTTAGGCTACATTGACACTGCTGATATTAGCATGTTAGGATATCTGTCAAGTTGACAATTTCTAGACATTTAAATTTTAATGGAAAGACGATGTCTCTCTTTGTAAAGTGTATATGAAAGGAGATGAAAGTGCCTCAGATAAGTAATCTGGCCTTAAATGTCTATTTGTGTAACATTTGATGAGCTTGTTACAAGGAATTATGGATGTATTTTTATATAAGGCTGATTTGAGCCACTTTCTCTTGATATGCTTTTAATGAGAAAAAGTATGTCTCATTAGAAGTTTAGCCTTATGATCATAACTCACTCTAGATGAGTTAGGCTAGGCTAAATAAATTAGAAGAAATATGTTTCTTGTGGTGATGTATTATTATAGTCTACACCCATCCTGGGGATAGTGTACGGCAGTTGGTGTTCAGCTTTCAGCATCTGTAACAAATGGCAGGTGGTGATATTTTGCATCTCAATGCCTTATTTATGACTTACCATAAACTAACCATGCTTCGAGGATATGATAATTTGAAAAGCCTGTATGCCCATCATTTATCAGAACAGAATGATGCTAAACATGCATTTAAGTTACCCTATTCTTACAATTTCTGCATTTCCTGCTATATAGGATACATCTCTAATCACCGATGTAATTAGGCCTTATTTTACAAGAGTGAAAAATTATATCGATGAAGCTCTCTAGTTTCTCCTTCTCTAGGCTTTTCAGTCTTTTTCATACAGGATGCAAGATTTAGGCATTGTCTGATCACAAAATGATTCTTTTAATCAGCCGTGACTGATTTCACAATTTCTTTAGGAAAATTTTTTTATTTTCTTCGCCTAGACTTCTTCAGTGCTGGATATCATATTGTGTTATTAACAATGAATGAGAATCATTTGAGCGGCTGCTTAAATCAAGAACCTATTTAGAATTTCTATGTAATTGTTTTGAATAGAGATTCTCCATAGAACAATGGTTTCAATTACAAATCACAAGCACCAGTTGTCAGATCATATCCTTGGACATAACTTCTTATGTATAATTAATTTTTCAATCAGTTTCAATGTTTGCCAAAATGAGGAACCTTAGATTTTCATTTCAAATCTCACCATTATTAATATTTAAATGTTCAATTAGTGTCAGGTTTTGTCCATTTCAGTTATGATATAGTTATTAATTACATTTATTTATTTATTTATTTATTTTCATCTCACAATAGATTTATGATATAGTTTGCACTCAATGACCCATTCTATTTCATGAAGTATAAGCTTAATACTTTACAGTGGCGTAGCGTGGGTACTTTGTGAGAGTATGCCACGAGTGAGCAAATGGAACAAGCTTTGGGGAGGTTTAAGAGTGTTCTCCCCCCAAGAAAATTTGAAATGAGATTGCGTTCTGGAGCATTTTGAAATATGCAAGTCTGACAAATATGGACTAATAAAATGTAAATTATTGGCAATTTTTATCCATTTTTAAAGTGTGGGGCAATTCCATATAGAAAATCAACTTTTTTCTAAATTTTGAAAGTATGGCATGGTGTTTATGCGTATATGACGATCAGCCATTGCTTAACTAGATGTGCAGTCTTGGCTGATAATAATAGGATGTCCAGTATATCAATTGTGCCTATTATACAGCAGGGTTAAATCACTTCTTTAGGGCGCCTTCTGACAAAAAGCTTCATAACCAAGTATATTTTATGCCTGAGTAACACTCAAAAATCTTTTTATTACTCTAATCAATGGCACTTTAATACATACATTGTGACTCTGTGTATGAGATAAAAACCACAATGCATTATCTCTGAACATATACTTTAATGTTTTTTGCTATTTGTATTCCAGTTGCTCAACAATATGGGGATGATCATGCACAATGACAACTTGCCAAAAGACACAAGGAAGTGTATACTCTGCCTTGAAGAGGGTGATCAACCCACCAATGGACCAGCTAGGTTAGTGCAAACACATTCAATATGTCCATTGAAACATAATTATTTGCCCATCCCTCTGTATCTAGCTTTTTAAGATTGTTCGTCTCGAAGGTATAGATTGATTCTGAGAGAGTCTATTGAAGCCATGCATAGCAAAAATTCATCTTGGAATTGTCTGAAAATATCACGTCGTTTCATTTTAAAAACCTTTATAGGAACCATCAATGACACTTTGCCCTTTTACAAAACAAATTCTCTTCTACATCTTTACATCACCTACACATCACCACCACCAAGTGGTGAATTATTGTTATAGACTCCAATTTTTTTTGTGGATGGTATTCAGCAGTGTTCGGCATTTGGTGGTCAGTGTTCGCCACTGTTGGTGTCTGCAACAAATAGCAGATGGTGACATTTTGCATGTTAATGCCTTGTTTCTTCAGTACCTTTAATGCCACATTTCTTCCATTTACATTCATTTTATAGTGCCTGGATGATATGTAGCATTCAAATGACAAACATGTCCAGATAATACCTTTGATCACCCTACCTCATACACATGGTTAAATATCTTACAAGGGTATATACTTTTGTATATGGGTCCCTTATTATGTCTTATACCTTAATTTTTATTATTTAAAGTAAAGATAAGTATAAAATATTCTGACTTAAGAATATACAATTGTACAACTTTTACATTGATTCTGTCCTTCAGGTCATACTGACCCTTTTAGCGTTAATGAAGGATGGTTGCTTTATGATTCAAGTTAATCTGGGGCTCGTAAATGCATATTGTTCTTTACTGCACATTGCACTTGGCAGCAATCTACGTAAATGTTATAAGATGCATAATTATTTGAAATAAATGTGTAATGACGTGAAATGAGGGAATTAAACCATACTAAACAATGACTACTTGTTCATATTCATCGATTGATATAATTCTTGATTTTGGCCATAGCAACGAAACAGAATGACACAAAATCATTTTATTCTATTCATCTAACATCAATCATTGGGTACTAGGCTAAGTAACAAATCATTATTTAAACTAAAAAAAATTCTGTGGTCTATGACGCATTCAGAGGGTCTGGTATCATATTCAGATAAATCATATGGGATATAAAATAATACGGCCATCAAAAGTGGATAAATAGATTAATATGTGATTTATGTTCTTTGGAGGTTTTCTGTCAATGATTGCTATAAGTTCATGTGGCAAGCCATATAAAACCATATAAAACCATATAAATGATGTTGAAAGTATGCAAGATTAAAAAAGCTCTCCTCAAATCTTGATTGATCATGGTGGAAACCAACTCCTTGTATCATAAAAGTTTTTTATTTATCCTCCTCTCGTTAAATTGAAATAAACCATAATGCTTCCTGTTATATTTTATTACGTTTTTAATTTACAGGATATCATACCTGCGTTGATATGTAAATCCAATGGTAGTAAATTTATTAAAAGCTTTAAATGATTGTGACATTGAAATATACTTTTCTATAAGGGTGTGATTGATTGCTAGCTAATGCAGAATAGATAGATGAAAGAAGCCATACTTGCAGCTCAGTTGGGATAAAGCAGCATTAAACACATGTGAATTTCTATTAAGTCTTCAAACATTATGAGCTTGTTCGCATTCCTTTATTCTTAATCCTTAGTCTTAAGTCTGATGTTCAAGATAATTGATGTTGCCACCATTATATGCTATCAATATTTTGCTGATGGATGTTTGCTTTACGCTATGTGCCATGAGTTCAATATTTCTGACTGCAAGCTACTACTTAAGTCAAATCAGAGTGAGGGCTAGAGCTTATATCTGGAGAGAATTTATGAGAATTTATGATTTCACAATCTCTCTGAATTATGAGACTGCAGTTTTTCAGCTTTAAGATTTTGTGGCCATTTTCCCCCCACAGCCTCTAGTACCCCTACTATGAAAATGGGCTATAACTCAAGAATATCTTATGGAGAGTTCTCAGATGTTTAGCTAGATGTTTAATTAAAGTTCAGGATTGTCATGTTCAGAGAAGTCAAAATAGAATAGGTTGCCCCGACTTGAATCAATCATGGAATTTAAAAATTGCATCAAAATGTCTAAAATGGTCCGAGAAGTTTAGAATTCTGAATTGTGTGAAATTTTGAATGGTTATAAATGTTTATCCACTAGTTAAAAAGAAATATAAAATGAGGAAAAGCAAACTTAATGAAAACTACTAGAGTCTTTCAATAACTTATATAAACATATCAATATTTTACTTGCAGGATTCTTAACGTTGGTACAGAACAATGGGTCCACCTTAACTGTTTGTTATGGTCCTATGAAGTGTATGAGACCATAAGTGGGGCATTGATGAATGTGGAACAGGCACATAAACACAGCCAGTCTGTGGAATGTGCAGCCTGTAAGAGGAAGGGTGCTACAGTGGGCTGTTTCAAGATGAGATGCACAAATATGTATCATGTGGGCTGTGCACAGAAGGTCAACTGTACATTTTTCAAGGATAAGGTATTGGATTGTTGATCTTTCTCCACAACTAGAATTAGAAGCAAAAGATAACTTCAGTTTAATCATTTGTGCTTTTGTAGTAAAACTGAGTAGAATTGTGAGACATCTATTTAAAACAACCTGTTGTAATACAATACTGTAACAATGCATTGCAATACAAGACACCACACTAAATATGTACTGTAGTATAGAAAATATGAAAAATAAGACCCCTATTTAAACATACTGATTTAACCACCTAAGTGTCACTGATCATGTGCTTTCCTCACTATTCCTCTCTAGTTTTGAATTGTGCTAAAGCTCTCTGAGAAGTGTGACCATTTGTCGATTTTCTTTACTTTATTCCCAGTTTTATATTTCAGACAATCCTGTGTCCTTTACATGCCAGTAAACTGCACGCTGATGAGGAACTGCCAAACCTCTCCGTCTTTAGACGTGTCTATGTTAATAGGGATGAGGCCAAACAAGTAGCAGGGTAAGTTACCTAATGGAAGACTTCATATAGATGGCATTTTTTACTATAATTACCTATTGGAGACTGAATATTGATCATTTCTTTTGTATGTGAATGAAATGTCTTGTAGTTATTTAATGTGGAGAGAAGAAACTGAGATAAAAATTGACATTGTTGGTGCTTTGGTAATTTTCAATTGAAGAAAAAACAAATACTGCATGTACAATTTTTTGATGTAAATCCATACTGTACTTTAAATGTATACTGTAAATGGACTTGATAATTTAGAGATATTCACTATCTTGACTTCAGTGCCTGTTTTAGCATTTTACACCAGGAGGAGAAGAAATATGTGTGTAGGATAGGCTCTCTGGTGTTCCACAGTGTTGGTCAACTACTGCCCAGTCACATACAGTCAAAACGCTTCCATACCAAGTATTACATATACCCAGTAAGTTGCACATTCTAGTTTATTACCTGTTTTCAATTTTCATTTATACTCTATATGATAAATGTAATGGCCATTGATTATGAAGCTTTATTTCTGTTTTATAGATAAATGATTTAAGTGAGATTTGAAGTATAATATTATCTATGTTAATACTTTTCAATGATTCATAACAAATTGTTCATTGTTTTAGGTGGGCTTTCACGTGACAAGATTTTACTGGAGTTTCCGTGTTTTGTACAAACGTTGCTGCTATGTATGTAAAATAGATGACAATGATGGAAAGCCTGAATTCAGTATCAGAGTCATAGAAAAAGGTCACCAAGACTACACAGTACGGGACTCAACGCCAAAAGGTATTGACATATTACCTGTATTAAAGAGAGAATCATTTTCCAGAAATAGGTTCCCTACAGTCTTATTAGTCCAGTGACAAGATATATTTGCAGTTTTTATGCATCCAAAACATGCATTATTGAAAAATGGCTGAAAATGGACAAAAAGTCAACAATTACCGGACAATCCAACTAAGAAGCCATGATATTTAACTTATTTTGAAATATCCTTTTGATAAGACCAAGCAGTAGGTCATTTACTTCATACAGTTTTAGTTCTATAATACCATTTTATACTATATTATATTTTGCTTTTAGGAGTATGGTTGAAGTTATTAGAACCATTAGAAAAGTTACGCAAACAAGCAGACCTCGTGAAGCTATTTCCAAACTATACATCTGGGGAGGAGATGTTTGGACTGAATGAACCATCAATACTCAGGGTCATAGAATCTGTAAGTACACACTTTTTTCCCTTTAAAACAATTGACAAAATGAGCAATTTTGGTTGATTAAATAATTATTTTTTGAAATGGATATTTGTATCATTTTGTACATTTTTACGAAAAGCTTGGAATGTTTATAACTAACTAAGTTGATAAAGAACTTGAATCAGAAATTCATGTTCACACATTGAAATAGTTATCCCATCATACGAAGTTCGGAGGGATATATGAACACACCATTTCATTTTTTGTCCGTCTGTCCATCCGTACTTAAATCTTTATTTGTTTCTATTATATTATGAGACCTCAAACTAATCTTACATTTCGTTTGTTCATTTCAGCTTCCTGGTATGGACCTATTGAAGAATTATCATTTCCGCTATGGTCGTAACTTAACAGTGGACATCCCACTTACAATTAACCCCTCAGGCTGTGCTAGATCAGAACCAAAGCTCAGGACACATTTCAAAAGGTATAAACAAATTCCAGTTTGTCACAAAGCTTGTATGAACATCATTTGCAAAATAACTGCAAGAATTTGCGATCTATATAAACATATAATGTCTAAGTAATAATCTTGTCATTCAAAAGTGAGATTTACCTCATTGTTTACTCCAATTGAAGCAATTTCTATATGAATTGATTTTCTTCAGACCGTATCTACAAAGTGCTGGCACATCACGATCATTGACCACCAATGTCACCCAGGTGACCGCAGGAGATATCAACTCGCCATACATGAAGCAGTTTGTTCATTCCAAATCCGCTCAATATCGCAAACTGAAGACAGAATGGAGACAAAATGTCTATTTTGGTCGGTCAAGAATACAGGTATTTCATTTTCATTTGAGTTACATATCTCACACAGACTCCATAGGGCATATATGTGTGTCTTAGTAAGTTTCCTTGATAATTTTTGATTGAGAATTTGTTGTAATGTTATACAAAATTATTTCTGTATTTGAAACAACTGAACTTTTTGCGTAACACACATAAACATGTAATTGTCTGTTTCACAGGGACTTGGTCTGTTTGCTGCTAGAGATATAGAGAAACACACCATGGTCATTGAATATATTGGTGAACAAATAAGAAATGAGATAGCTGAAAAGAGGGAGAAATTCTATGAAGAGCAGGTATGTCATCTCCATTCCTTAAAGTGAAATAGAATTTGTATTAAGGGAATATTTCCTGAAAACATTTCTAAACAAGAAAAGTTCACAAACCAGCATCAGTATGTGGTGTCACCATGGTGATTATGACATCTTGAGAATAGACTTCGAAAAATTTCATCACTTAAAATTCTCAACTCGATAAAAATTGACAACTTTGAACTATTTGGTCCAGATCCTTTAGTGTTGGAAGATCATAGAATATTTTACTCATATCGATTATTTGTTATAGAATCGTGGAGTGTACATGTTCCGTATGGACTCTGACACTGTGAATGATGCCACCATGGCTGGTGGGCCCGCCCGTTATGTCAACCACTCCTGCAACCCCAACTGTGTGGCAGAGGTGGTCCCCTTTGAGAAGGAGAGCAAGATCATCATAATTGCATGCAGGAAGATCTCTAGGGGAGAGGAGGTAATGTCCCATCATGCAATTGCATATTAAATTAAATTCATAATTGTAAACTCTGAATTGTTTGATTGATAATATATGGATGTTAAAATTATATTAAGTATTTGTCTATTAACATATTTATTATTGTATTTTATCAGCATGATTCAACAACAAACATCAGCTGCTAATTAGTATAATTTACAACCACAATCATATCCTATTGCACATGCTTTTTATTTAAATCTCACTGTGTTGGTGAACTTCATTTTATTCATTTGGTACCCTATTTCCTGGTGCTCCAAAAGGGTATTATTCCATGCACGTGGGCTTATCAAAACTCTATTTGGGCACTTAAATATGTATGTATGTGTATGTTGCATGTATGTGGGTTGTTATGTGAATTGTGATGTCATTTCACCCGTACTTGCTTTTATCACATGGGTTTGGTCCTGTCTCATTTAGTTATGCTTCTCTGTATCATTCCAGCTTTCTTATGATTACAAATTTGACTACGAGGATGCGTCGAAAAAGGTTGCTTGCTTGTGCGAGGCTCCGAATTGCCGCAAATGGATGAATTAACCTGCTGACCCCCCTAGGCCCCTACACACACACGCATCATAGGGCACCAATCTAGCCGTATTTAGGTTAATCTCATAGAACATTGGAAGCTCACACCCTGGGCAGGGACCTTGTCCTTAATACTATTACAGTAATGTAGAACACTAAACCCTGCACAGCTCATCTCAAGACCCTCCAAACTCCTGGACCACCCATAGACTTATAGCTAAATTGGTGCTCTGTATACTGAAAACACAGGATTATGAATAGAGACATTGTGTAAGGAATGATAGGGACTAATTTAGTACTGTTTTGTTTTGTAGTTAGTATACGACTATAAATTTGACTTTGAAGATGATCAACACAAAATCAAATGTATGTGTGGCGCACAAAACTGTCGTCAATGGATGAACTGATTGTACTGGATGAAATCGTACAATTTGGGATGTTATCGATTGTACTGGATGAAATCGTACAATTTGGGGATGTTATCGATTGTACTGGGTGTAATCGTACAATTTCGGATGTTATCGATTGATGTCCTTCTTTAAATCAGGTTAGGTCAACCTTAAAAATGGTGAATATGTGCCAGGTTGCACAGTGAATATCATCTCTATAATTTGAATCCATCTGTGCACTGTAAAGTACTCTTTTGGAGAAATATATAAGGAATAGAAAGGAATATTCAAGAAACATGTATGTTGAAGATACGGATGTATGTGAAGACAAGGCATATTTATGTGAAGGTGAGGAATATGTATCTGCAGACAAAAATAGAAGAGACATATTCAAGGTGATGAAATATGAAGGTTTCACAACTAGTCGCAACTTCAAGAGATCAGGAATATAAGATACTTACTATGCATATTGAACAACAAAGTCGGTAAATAAACTCAATATTTCAAGTATTAATGTCTATTGTTTGTGAACCATTGGATTACTTATTGTTGCCCTCATACAGGGTGACCAAAAGCTACATTGGATTTAATTTCTAATTTATTTTTGATCACCCTGTCACAAACAAGGATGTGTACAGGATATTTTAAACCCATGCACTGGCAAGTGGTAGTGTGAACCTAGTGATGTAAATTATTATGAGCAATAAAATATGGGACTAGATGTACCATTTGCAGCATCGTATTCAAACATGAGATTAATTCAGAGAAGTGAGCTGTATTGTTTACTTCATTGTTGGTCGACTCATCGTGTAGTGATCTCCCCAGTTTTTTCTCAGGTGGGTGCAAAATTTTCATTTTCACAATTCAGACCAAAATTGGTCAAAATATGCCAATTTTTCATGATTTTTCTCGTTTTCAAGGGGTGCAAATGGATTTTCAAAATCTGAGGTTGGTCCTGCGCCCACTTGCTTTAATGCTGGGGAGATCACTGTCGTGGTTGACTGGTCGTGCAACATCCTATTGTTTCATTTTCATTTTGTAGTTTATGGGAAGATAAAAAACAAAGTGGGAATGAAACTTTTTAAGAGTATGTGAGGTTGAATTAATGCAATATTTTTGAGGCTCCGGGGGTGTAAATATAATATAGAAAATGAGCAATTTAGTTGTAGATAAAGGTCACACAAACATCAATGTATGCCAAACCATAAAGTAATTCAGTTTTCATGAACACTTAACTCCCATATCTCTCTAAAAACTAGAAAACAGGTTTTACAAAAGGTAGCTTGATTCTGCTAATCAATGTAATCAACAATTTAACCGGATATAGCATTTAAAATTGATTCACCATTGTCATATCCATTACGTCATGGATTGGGGTACATTGATGAAAGACGTGCAGTGGCCATATGTAAGAATTGATAATTCAAGAGTAAATAATATTCTTGAAAGAAGAAAACGAATATATGATTCACTGAAGATGAAACATTGTACCTCATTTGTGTATGTACATTTCTACTTGTAAACCACAAGGTTGGACTATGTTATCTAAATAATTTTATATGTTGTTCTGACTTACGCAACATTTGCAAAATTATCACTTGTAAATTTAGTGTATAAGAAAGTGTTGATGTTGACCCCCATAGTCAGCTAAATAGTGACATTTTAGACAAGTTGTACAAACATTGAATCATAGATAATGCACATGAAAATGAACATAAATTACATTGTATGAAAAAATCCCATTTCCCATTGATATTTACCAACATGCCAAAATTACCAAATTCAAACTGGCTTCATTTTCAGTCATGTCACAGTACATAATGTTTTGATCTTGATTGTACACTAAAAGATGTGTATTTTGTAAAATATTGTACGAGGGGTGATCAATAAGTAATGGATGCTTAAAAGCATCTATGTAAAAAAGCATCCATTACTTATTGATCATCCCTCATATTTAAGCTCAGATGAGAGTTGTTTATAATAGACTTTGTTTTGTATAGTGATGAAGTATACATGTAGATCTGATGAAATGCTTATGATAGAACTTGTAGAATTTATTTAGCTTGTACAATTTAGTCAGATGTTTAAAAGATGAGTAGAAATTTACTGATCAAATATTTTATAGACATAAGTGAAATATATAAGGCTAGTGTACATTTTGTAGAATTTTGATTGTCTAAAATTCTTATACAAGATGTAACATTTTGAATGATTTTGAGAAAACAAATGTTAAATTGAACTTTTAATACACTGTAATAGATGAATATTGTTCAGTTGTTATTTGTATATTGGTAAATCAATTCGACTTCTTATATGAGAAATCACATATTTGTAATTATTTGTCAAAGAATGAATACATGTACATTTAGCATTTCTTTATATTCTATAATAACTCATAACTGAATCTTGGATTAATTAGTTTCACCAAACGAGATATAAACTATATGCTATTCAGTATTCATAAGTTATTTATTACATAAAATAATTAGCATAAGTATATTAGGAAAATTCAAAAATAACAAACATTGTATAAAAATTATTTTTATCGTTTCTGATTTTTAATACCATACACATATTCCTAAAGCATATTTCAACATTTAGAATGTTGATGTACAGTTCCTGTCTTTGTACTCGCATATGTTCAACCAGTGTGCTGTCGTAATGTTTGTCAGCCACGTCATATAATATAACACATCAAATGAAATTCTATTTTAGGTATGCTATGCATATATACATGTAGTATACAAAGTGATAAATATGTATGGTTTCTAACATGCATAGTATGTATATAACAGCTCCAGTTGTAAATCATGTCGAATAAACTGGATAGATTGATAACAGAATTATATTCATCGCTTTTGTTCTTTATTTGGATTATAATGAAAATTAGCAGTAAAATGTAGATAGTTAGCCTGCCATCATATTTCAGAAGTGGCATAAATGCCCACAATTACTTTAATGCCAATTATCAGATAGCAAAGATATCCTTGATGCCTAAAACGCAAATGAGCATTATATCCAAGGAGGATTGGAAGCCAGGGTTCCAACTCGATATTCTTTAATCTCCACGCATGCGTCATTTGCTATTCGTGTCTGTATAATTTGTACGACTGCATGGAGAATGACCCGATACTCTCCAACAAAGCTATCGCTAGGTGATTGTTTTGCAGAATATCGGTGTTGCATTCTGGGAGCCAATCCTCCTTGCATTATATCCTGAATGTGACTCAACTACATAGTCTGTTGATCACATGTGGAATATGCCAATTGGCAATACAGATCCCCTCACATATTTTGAATGCCACTCCGTAGTATATATACCCATACTCAAATATAATCAACACCGATCTGTAGTATGACAATAGTGTCAGGTCAGGTCTTCTATGTTTTCCCCATAGGCTCATGGTCTTCCACGCTTTTCTGGAAGTCCACAGTCCATTTTTTATGTAGCCATGAAGTAATAATGTTGAAGTTAGTCCAATTCCCGGGGTCCAATTGTATGCTGGCTGACATAAGAAAAATTCTCATCCAGTCTCCATTGGGCAAACTTTGATTTAACATTAATTATGTGTTGCCTGGTCTATTGACATCATCCACTCAGTCAGAACTGTTATCATGAGATATATATGGAAGAATCTGTTTAATTATTTTTAAATATATCCCTTTGATACCATAGGCTTTAACTGATGGTTAACAATAGGGTGATAGATCAAAGAAAGAAAAGAATGTACAAAATGTTCATAAAAAGATGACATTGCTGTCAACCTGTTTAATATTGAACTGCCTACTGCTGCCATCTTTTTATCAGACTACTAAATCATTACCACGTGCGTTTGTTTACAAACATTACCAACATTTTGGTTTGAGACTAAGCATCAAAATGGCTTCCGGTTGTGGGAGGTGCTGTTTCTCTAGAGAAGATAATCGGAGGAATAGTGATGATCGGAGTCAGGAAATGGTAAGATTATCATGCAGCCGTATCTCATACTATATGTCTATGATATCTAGGAATATTGATGCAATTAGTCTATGATTTACGTATCATTTTGGCTTTTAAAAATATTTTTGAAAAAAAGTTTTGAACTTTCAAAAGTTTCATTGTTCATTAGTTTCACTTTATATAAACTATCTTGTGCATGAAGGAATGGTAATCCCATAAAGTGATCCGTTCATATTAGTCTGTTATTAAAAAGATTGGCTGGGTTACATCATGGGTAGTGTGAAGTTCTACTAAAAAAACAGGTGATAAAAGTAAAATTCCAATTCTTCAAGGCTATTGCCCATGCATCTTGCAATCTGATTGGTCCATTCGCGAAAATAAGGTGAAGCGCATCCTGTTTTACGATTTTGCATTTGCAGTATTATCTGGCAAAAACATAGGTGGCCATAGGTGCTTAACACCTCTGGGTCTCATTTCAATCTGACGCACCTGAGATTTGTCACTGCCTCAGAGGTGCATTTGCCGCCCGAACTCCCGTGCAGTGATATATCACTGCGGCGGGCAGGTGTCTCACCGTAAGCATGGTAACATCGTAATAAACAACTGCCGTGATTGGTTCTAGTCCCATGCTCAGGTCGCGTGATTGTAAAATTTAGACAATTTCATTGGTTGAATTGCGCGTATTAACTAATAAACAACACGTGCGGTAAACTTTTATCAACACAACTTTTACTCAGAATTCCTTCCGCGGGGATTTGCTCTTATATTTCATTGATTTTGGAATATTTTGACAAAATAATTATTGATGAACATAAAAGAACATATATTTTATAAGTTGTGTGAAAAACAAGTACATCTGTGACAAAAAGGGGGACTATCTTCCCCAAATTTTGGGGATTTCATAATCTGCCCGCCGCAGTGTCTATACCAAGACACTGCATAGGAGTTCGTTTGCCGCCATGTTATTTGAGTAAATGCTCTGAAAATTTCCAAACGTTTTACTGTATTGGCCTTATATTATAATCAATACATTTTCCACAAAACATATATTTAGCAACCTACTTATGATTCTTATTTCAGATATCGCTGATACATGGTCATCCGGAACATCTGCCAACAAAAGATTATGAGGTGAAGACATCTATTCATATAAAGAAATTAGAGTTAGAAATACCAGGGCCTGCCTAGAAATGCTGGGCTCAAAGATCGACATATACTTTGAATTCTGAAGTACAGAACATGTACAGAACATTATTCAATACATGCCCACAACATCAATAAATTAAGATTTTTCAATTCTAAACCAACCCCCTTCGTTCTGTAAAGGGTATGATTAACAATACACCAGGAGCGATCCTGAAAATCCAGAGGGAGGTACTGGAGTATCTGTTTTAGATAATTGGCCAAAAAGGCCAAATAATGCCCAAAAAGGCTCACTAAATTGAGGCCCTACAAGATATTGGCCCCAAAATTTTTTCTGGGCCCATTCTAGGGGTAGGCTCCGTGCTCCCTAGGAAACTTCATAAATCAATTTATTCTTCTGAAACTATGAAAATCACCAAGTTTTGTATTGCAACAAGTCTCTATATTGTTGCCCCTTCTTTTTTTTCTATTTTCTTTGCTTGAGCCCCGATAACCCCCTGGGCTATGGGCCTGACATGATGCTTTTCCTTATGTTGTAGAGTCTGGACTATGACTGGTGCCATAATGAGCCTTTTGAAGATATGTTGGAAGAAAGAGAGAAGGATAAGGTCAGTTAACAGACTAAGGAAAGCACAAGTCAAATGGAAAATTTAAACAGTCAATTGAATTCTATGTCATGTTTGTTTAAAGTCATATGTAGAAATTACATATGATTTTTGCAATACATGTACTACGATTAAAATTTTTTTTAAGAAATACATTCACCATAGACCTACAAGATCCATATAACTGTGTGAACAACATCTTTTGACTGTTCTTTGGAGTCCATATTTTATTTATCATTAGAAATGATAACACATATTGGATTTCTATCAATATTATTTTCAATTTTAGTGGCACGAGACCAAAATGGAAGTTATAAAATGGGTAGTGACATTTGTCATAGGTGTTTTCACTGGCTTGGTAAGTAAATAAATATTCAATGATTTAACACCCAATATACTTTGAAATAAATGTAATAAGGCATACTTCTAACTCAAGGGGAAAACAATTTCAGCTCCGGTCACCTTGATTTCAAAACAGACAACAACATAATGATACCTTATTTAGAACTTATCAAAACTTTATACCTTCTGGTGCAAAGGCTTTAGATACTTAATAACTTCATAAAACGCTAAAGGAAGCTAATGAAACTACATGTATTTATGTACTGCATTGTTGAAACTTTCACATCATTTAATTAATTTCATAGGAGGTATTACTTCTTGAATATTCCACCTCACTAGAAAAACAGCAACTCGCAGGAGTAGCAAATCTCACCCAGCAAAACATTTTATCAAATCCTTAGTCATTTGGGACATTACTTACGTGATAGAAATAATGTAGAAAGTAGAAGAGTTATTAGTATTAATTGTCTCCTTTAAATCAAACTTTTGTTCATAGATGCATAAAACATTATATGTATATGTACATATATAATTGTATGTATTCATTATACAAAACATGCATTATATGTTTGTATTGTTCATGTTCTTTATTATATTCTTAGGTTGCCCTCTTTATTGATGTGGTAGTGAAGGAGTTAGCAAAGTTGAAGTTTGGAGCAGTTGAAGCTTGTATCCATTTTGCACCACAATTTATCAGTTTCAAAGAATATTTCCAGTTTTAAGATGTTTATGTCATCAGATGGCATCGGGTGTTTGGTGTTTTGCATCTGGTGTTTGGCAGTTGGTGTTCAGCAGTTGGCCTCTGTAACAAATGGCAGAAGTGACATTTTGCGTGTTAATGCTTTGTTAAATTTTGTTTGACAATGGAATTACAAGTGTCAGAACTTTGATCATAAGAGATAGATACTTTGTTTTATGCCTGGCATAATCCAAATTGTGCATGACTACAAGTTAACGATCGTCTTCGAAATGCAGGTGTCCAAAACTCATCCACAAATTTCTCCAAAGGAAGGAATCTAATGGATAATGTCTTAAACTCTGCATTTGAAAGATGAACAAATACAAAAGTAAATGATTCCTTGACTGTTATCAGCTATTATGCAATGTTCTCTCTCAGGGTGTCTAGTGTTATCTCTTCTGCTTCTTATTGCAATAAATGGAAGCTTTGTTCTCATTGCCAGTGTTCTCACCTCAATTGAGGTAAGTCTTATACAGTGCAGTGTATATACTTCATTAATACTATAACAAGAGTTATCCCCATTGTTTAGTATTTAGTCTTAAGTATGAGATTTCTTGTGGGGATATAGGAGTTACCTTCCCTATTAGTACTTTATTTGATTAAAACTTATTTGATTAAACTTAAAATTAATAAATGATGGAACCAAAAACCATGAACACATTGAAAAATGTAGTTTCATGAATAATTTATTTTTCAGCCAGTGGCAGCAGGGTCAGGTATTCCAGAGATAAAGTGCTATCTTAATGGTGTTAAAGTCCCTAATGTAGTTAGACTGAAGACATTGGTCAGTAAGGCTGTAGGGGTTCTCTTTAGTGTAGCAGGGGGTAAGTCTCTTATGAATATTCTCAATAAGATGACAACAGTTTATAAGGATTTCCCTTTCTAACACTAGGGAAGGACAAGTCTAGTCTCGGTCTAGAGAACAGTCTCCTGGGCTAATAATTTTTATGAAAAATATATAGAAATATCACCCAAATTAAATTATGAATATTCAAAAGAGGAAAATGAATCTACAAGATGTAAAAATATCCCAATTGTCCGAAGCATGGATAGCGTGCAGTAGGTCGATTCAATAAAAGACAAGTCTCGATTTGGAGAAAGAAGTTCATTGGTGTACTGCGCTAATATTTTTTATGAAGAATCTAGAAAAATCACCCAAATTAAATTATGACTATTCTAAAGAAGACATTCAAGTTGGTATCTTGTAAAAAAATTAAATTTGTCCGAAGCAGGTGTAACACTCAATTAGAGTGATGAACTTTGTTCTCCAAACCGAGAATAGTTCTTTCATGAAATATTGACTTTAAATCAGTCACGCATTTTAACATGAGACAAACGCAGACAAACAATCCTTGAATTGTTAAATGGCATTTTAACAATGTTTTTCAGGTCTGTTTGTTGGCAAGGAGGGTCCTATGATCCACAGTGGGGCAATCATAGGAGCTGGGGTGCCACAGTTCCAGAGTATAACTTGCAAGAAGATCAACTTTAAATATGAGTTTTTTAGGACAGATCGGTACAGCATCATTTTCTGATTTTGACCAGTGTCAACAATGTTGTAGTTATAATATACAAATATCTAGTTCTATTGAAGGGCTAGTGGAATATCAGCTTGTGAAAGAGTCACAGGTATTCTTTGAAAATAGAAATAAATATTTGTTTAATTATTCACTGTTATATTCCTCACTCACATTAATGGAATAACAAATGAGTGAAGTCTAAGTTGTCATAACAACAATGTACTCCCAGTGATATATACAATTAAAATTACACTGGACTAAGTCGTGACTCCGGGTGAATATCATTATTTGATATTCAACAGAAGTCACATGACTTATTTTTTAGTCACGTGTAGGACATGGACCAATCATAGAGTTAGGAATATGACAGTGATATAGTAATATACATTATGTAACCATCCAAAGTTGTCTCAATTTTAGAATTATTTTTTTGTCATAGCATTCGTTATCATCGAATGTATACATTTGTAGGTATGACAATACTCCATGTCAATGTCTTGTCTTTAAATGCAGCAAGTGAAATGTTGTTCTATTTCAGCGACAAGCGAGACTTTGTATCTGGCGGGGCAGCTGCTGGGGTTGCAGCAGCTTTTGGGGCACCAATAGGTGGTGTACTGTTCTCCCTTGAGGAGGGGTCTTCATTCTGGAACCAGAAGCTGACTTGGAGAACTGTAAGTAGACCCTTATAAAATTATTGGGAATTTGTCACTTAATTTTCATTTGACACTACGAGGGTTGTCCAAGAAGTAATGCACTATTATGCTTTATCAATAATTGATATTTTTCCATGAAATTTTCAGTGATTGTGTATTCCCAAATCAAAATTCGAGATTTTTTCGGATGGCAACTGTAAACACATGTTCTCTTGCCTTAAAAAGATAACTATCTGCCAAGTTTGGGAGTGTAAGTGAGATATGGTTAAGAGTTATAATGGCTGCTCCTGCCAACCATCTGCTTGTTATATTAAAACAGAATTGAATGAGGTTGATGATATTGCTATTTCTTTCAGTTTTTCTGCTCCATGTCGGCTACATTTACACTGAACTTCTTTCTATCTGGTATCAAGACAGGAGAATGGGGGTTCTTCTACTTACCTGGCCTCATAGACTTTGGTGTCTTCAAGGTAAGAAATATTCCATGTATCGGCAGTAGAGAATGAAAACATACCACCCGCTATGGCTCAGTGGCAGAGTCAAGGCTACCACTATCACTGGGCCCTGGGTTCGATTCCCGGTTCAGAAAAGTTTGTTTGTGCGTTATGTAATTCTGAGTGTTTGACCGAGTAGTTCACGACTAGTATAAAAGGGCTGTGGTGTGTACTTGTATGTCTATGTACCCAGATTATAGCAATGGGGTATTACTCGCCAAATATGGTGGTAACCAAGATACAATACAATACCACTTGAATATTGCCATATGCATAGATTTTAATAAAATAGGAATAAGGAAGAAGACGTTAGGCCAAATTTCACCCTCAGATAGCTCAGAAAAGGTAAAATTTATCCATTTTTATCTTCAGAGTCCTTGTTGCCGCTTTAAATGTCCTTGTAGACTTTAGGGCCAGGAGAGGAAATAGTCAAAGACATTTTTAATGGCTTTCTTTATTGCCTTAAATTGAATGCACTTTCTTTTTGAAAATGGTATATATGTTTCTAGTGCACCAACACAAATGGGCAGTGTCATCTATGGAATGCAGTAGACCTGTTGATTTTCATTGCTATGGGGTTTATAGGGGGTCTTCTTGGAGCTTTGTTCAATTCCCTCAACACTCAGCTCACAAAGCATAGGATGAAATATGTCAACAACAGACATAAGTTTGTCAGGTTGGTAAATTTAAGAGTACTGGCCTATTGGTTTCTGATCATAGAATTTCACTCCAGAACAGTTGATCATGATTTTAACAGACGAAGATTGGTGTGACAACTGAAGTCTGAATTCAGTTTCAGTTGCCCCTTCTCACTCAATATTCTCTAACTAACTGAGGTACAAGACAATGTGTGAAAATGCTCAATGGGAGTTTGCAGTTATCATGCTTTCAGAGTGCCTATGTGATTGGTGGTAAATTCAATCAATGGAGTGAGTAATTTATTCAACTGTGGCTGTCTTGGACCCATAAATAATTCACATGTAAACATGGGCTATCAAATAGTTGAAAGCCCATGATGTAACCAACTACTGTATGTGTATATCTTGAATTAAAGAGGTTCAGCACCATAGCTCCTATACAAGAAATGATCAATTTATAGGCAAATAAATCATACTTCTATATGTACTTTTATGGTATTTATGATTTGTTCTGTAATATGTGATGATATACACTTTTTTATTTCAGGATTCTTGAAGCTTTGTTAGTTGCTATGGTGACATCTATGATCTCATTTATTGCTGCAATGACTTTAGGAGAATGTCGTAAACTTTCAGTAAGATTTAATCTTAATTTTAGTCCCTAAATATGACAATATGGTCTCAGGTTACAATACATGTATGTACAGTATATAAAACACTACCTTAAGCAACACTACATATGAAATTCCACTATAATTCTAAACAATAATTCACAATCTGTGATATAAAACCTTAAAAGGCAGGACTCCCAGTGATGTATTATATGCAATGTGTACATGAAATGTACATGTATCATATGCTTGTGTACTGTATGTTCGTTCATGTATTCTAACAGGTTATGAAGCACTTACAATATACAGGGTGTTCCATATTTTTCAGGAATGATGCTGTATTTTATTGGTTTTCTTTTCAATCTAGCTGATTTTTTGACAAAATGTGTCCAAATATGTTGTGAATAAGTTGGAAAAGCTTCATATCATGAAACGCAGTAGACTGAATAATATGGTTGCTAGAGTAACCTAGGGGTAGGGTAGGTGGAGCAGGTGCAACAACGCGCAAAATATGACATTTTTGTAAAAATAGTAGTTTTTGTATAAAGTGTTCAAAGTATGAATTTGTCATAGTCACATCAAACTTGTTGGAAATTAAAAAGAATCAAGGTGGATTCCTCGAAATTAAAAATGTTATCACACCCTTTATTAGCCATCATCATTATTTCAGCATCTATCCCTTCCGCATTAGTTAGCGCTCTCACTGTTCTCAGAAATCCACATTTTGGATAATCGGTCTCAGTTTCCCTTCCAGATTTGAACCGCTTGTACCACTCATACACTCTAGAGGTATACCATCATTGAGTCCCCATGTGCATTCGTCAGGAGTTTAATTGTGTCTGCTGCAGAAAACTGTTATTCACACATGTCATGTCTTGTCACAGATTATTGCCTAAGTCGAAGGTTTTCCTTTGCTAATGACTTTTTCACTTTTCAAGATGGCCGCTCGTCCAAAATGACCTGTGCTTATTCTCTTTTGTGACTCATGACATGACAGGTGTTTAAATTGTGATGTGATCAAGGGTGATGACATTTTTTTTACTTTCTTGGAATCCACCTTCATTTTTGTTTAATTACTGACAAGTTTGATCCAACTCTGACAACCTAATACTTAGTCACACTTCGTACAAAAAAAGACTATTTTTACAAATATTTCATATATTTTGCGCGTTGTTACACTTGCTCCACCTACCCTACCCCTAGGTTACTATAGCAACCATATAATTAAGACTACTGAACTTCACAATATGAAACTTTCCTAACTTATTCAAAACATGTTTAGACACATTGTGTTAAAAATTTAGTTAGGTTGAAAAGAAAACCAATAAAACACAGCATCATTCCTGAAACATATGGAACACCCTGTACTGTATAATACCGCTATGATGATTCATTTGTAGGTATCGCAACATGTATCATGTTCCCTCACATTGCATTTGGGTTACACTTAAAATAAAAAAAAGTTTGAAAATTGTATCGATTCAATTTTTTTTTGTAGTCAACAGGGGGTAACAGTAGTGATGTCTCGGACTCTGTGCGTACTTATTTTTGTCATGATGGTTACTATAACGATATGGCTACTTTGTTCTTTAACCCAATGGAGATTGGCATCAAGCAGTTGTTCCATCAAGAGGGTTAGTACATTATAATGGCTATGTGGTGTGATTAATGTATCTGTTGCAGGAATTCATTGTACATATTGATTACAAAAATCCAAATTAACTAGCCATTTGATAAGTTGTCTTTCCTACCTTCACCTTTTACAGTAAGATAAGATAAAAAAATGCATGTACCCAAGTAGATTACTAAGCTGAGGCATTTTGGAAATGTATTTGTCTACAGTCAGTGATGTTAATGTTTGATTAGAAAATAGGGTTTATGAGAAAAATAACATGCATGTTCTGTAATGTTGCTTGTTGTGAATAGCCTGAATGAATTGAAGCCATGTATAGATGTCACCATTATTTATAAAATGAAAAATAACGAGAAACCACAGATAAGCAAAGTGTGCCTTTAGTTTATAAATACCCATAACCATATATTTCAGGAACCTTCAGTATGACATCATTGGCGATCTTCTTCATGTGTTTTTTCTTTCTTGCCTGCTGGACGTATGGAGCTAGTGTCCCCAGTGGCTTGTTTGTGCCCTGTCTCTTTTGTGGTGCTGCGTATGGGAGATTCGTGGCGACTATTCTTGTCAAGTAAGAACATATATACGTAGATCCATTCTGTATGGTATATCAGTGTAAGCCATCTTAAACTCTTCCTGCACTTAAAGTCCCCGTCTAAAGTTTGAAAATATTTTTTTATCATTCATTTACTATTTGTCAGGACTTAAAAAGTGATTTTAGAGAGTTTTGAACAAAAAATTTTTTTTGAGCATTTCATTTCTCAAATATTCAAATTTCCCGCCATTTTTCAAAAAAAGTTGAAATTTCTTAATCATCAAATATTTCTTAATGCATTTCAGAAAAGATTATCTTTTTAACACCAATGCAAAGATTGAACAAGAGACACACTATTTCAATAATAAAATGTCATATTTAATGGGCCACTTCAATGTTTTAGCTTATCAAAAATATTTTGAAACATTAGTTAAGGTAATAAAAACTTTTTAAAATTGAATTTTTTTTTCGATGTCAATCTTTTCTAAATATGCTAGATTTTCAAAAAAAACCATGTTGATTGTCTAACCAGGTTAAAAGGAAGAATGAATTATGTTTTAGATATCATTGTACCATTGGTTTCTATGAGAACTAAAATTTTGAAATGCATTTTTCTCAGAACCATTTTCATGCACTGATAAGTTCATTTCTCGCTTGTTTATCAACCTATTTTCTTAATTTTTTCGGCAAAAAAAATGGGAGGATGAATGCTATGCATTGGTATGAATTGTGGCTAATTAGAAGATATGAGTGACCTCTAAAAGTTGGTTTTAAATAAATTCACAAATTTTGGAACAAAAAGTCTATCAAAAACCACTTTTTGAAATTTACAAAAAAGGTTTCACATATCACACTTTGATAACATTGAGTAAGACTACAATATGAGCCAAAGTGGTTTAAACTTTACACGGGGCCTTTAAAGAGATTAATTTTTGCTGTCTCCAAAAATAATACATGTTATATTGGAAAAATTATTTGAAATTTGTAGTTTGCTCTGGCCTTGCTCACAGGTCGATTGTTGTTGTATACATAGAATGATATTTTACTATATTTTGTACTTAGGTAATTGATTGAGGAATATATTAAATTAATTGTTTCTCTGGTTGATTAATTATAGCATTAGTTTATTGTCCATTTGATCATCATTCATGACAGATTCCATGCTGGTAAAATAGTTGTTTTATAACCTCTCTGAGGCATGGTGTCTAATTGTCAAGATTGGAAAAGGAATGAAATTTCGTTATGGTTTATTATCCCTTCCTTTACACATGTAATTAACTTTGAAAATGTTAATTTGCATGTACTTCGATTTTTTGCAGGGCAAAAAATCAATATTTTACTAAAATCATAATTAATGCCCGTCGCCCACTCTCTGAAGAAATTAACTTATTTTTCCAAAATTGTTGAAATTTGAAAACAGTCCCTAATAGCTACATGTATCTGGTAAAAGATGATATTTGAAAAAAGTTCTCTATCTATTATTTTCCTTTAAATAATGCATCATGTAAGATAAAAGATATTATTGGGAATAATTTCTGTAATTGAATTTTTCAGTGTATTTGGTTACACCAATATTTACTCTGGTACATTTGCCCTTGTGGGGGCTGCAGCCTTTCTAGGCGGTGTGGTCCGAATGACGATCAGCCTCACTGTCATTCTGATTGAATCAACCAATGAAATCAGTTACGGTTTACCAATCATGATTGTGTTAATGGTGAGTTTCAATGTAAGAAAATTGTATTCAGTAATAAGGTTATATCTGTGTGAATAATGCGTAATTAAGACCTTTGATAAAAAAAAATGGTATTCCTTCTTTATAATCTTTATAATCATAAGCAGTTTTGTATAAAACTAAGTTGTCCCTATCGGGTTTTGGTTTCGTTGGATGTGAAGTAATTTGATGAAAGAACATTTGTTGAAAACATTGTCAAAATCTCAATGTTATCAAATATGAAATGTTCATTGAACCATTTCTTCTGCATTTATATTTGACATTTATATTAGACATGAATGAATGTTTGAGGTAATGTGTTATGTGTCCCGTATGATATACTATTTTAGTTACACTGTTTTTGTGTTGTACATTTTCAAAATATACAAACTGTCGATATTGTCTAATTAGGGGAGCCAATGAGATATGTAACATGTATATGTTATTTTTGATTATCTATTATGTTTAATAAGATCCATGTTAATCAGTTCAAGGCTAAGTTTTCGGTTATAAATCTTTATTCATCACTCAGTCTTTGCCCTGAAGCACTGCAACTGGATGAAACATTGTCTAACATTCTGTCATAATACCTTGAAATGAATTATGAATCATCTCCACTTGGCCTGTTAATGGAAGGCTAAATATTGAATGATTTGTGTCGAGAAATATCAGGTCAAAATGAACTGATAAAGAATCTTGAGAAGTGACAGAAGCCACAAACTAAGGGGACATCACAAAACATTCCAGAATAAACTCGGCATTTAGCCCTATATTTAGCCAGATATTATATTCAGTGGGTAATAAAATAATGCCTATTTATATTCCAGGTAGCCAAGTGGTCTGGAGACCTGTTTAATGAAGGATTATATGATATTCATATAGAACTAAAGGATGTTCCACTTCTGGGTTGGGATGCACCAATTAATACGCTCAAGTAAGAAAAAAATTGAAATAGGTAAACATAACTTGATGGCAGTTTTTATGACTCCACCCTTGCAGGAAATATTGAAAGAATTGGTGAACTTGATTCAATGGCAATTTTTATGTCTGCTTGTTTTTTGTGGATGGTGTTTGGCATTTGGTGGTTGGTGTTTGGCATCTGTAAAAATGGCAGGTGGTGATATTTTGCATTTTAATGCCTTGATTATATATATTGTTGCATCCCACTTTACTCTCCCAATCCACAATTTAATGGACTAGACTTGTGTTGTTGAATTTTGAGTATAAACCTGGGAGAACTATGTATATGGAACTGGATAAATGTTTATACATTGGAATAATAAAATCCCAAGTTGAGCAACGCAGGAACATTATAATATCTCTCTGAAAGTAATTCCAAATGAACATCCCATAATTTGTGTGGTGTTTCACAAAAACAACCTAACATCTTCCTTATATTCTTAAATATCCTTAAGATCCAGAGGGAGTATACATAAAGGTCACACAATGGTTAACATAATGAACAAAAGAATGATCATCGCTAATTGTGAAATTTGGACCTGACCACTGAAATAAGTCGAATGCTAAATGTCATGAAGCATAACTTTGCAAGTCATCAGATAGGTTGATTAAGTATGTTCCGTGACATTTAGAGTGACATTGACTTAATAAATCACTAGGAAATCAGAAACAATGAACTTGACAGGAGATAATATGGTTGTTATTTGAGGCAATAGTTTACATAAACCATTACAAATGCTTCACAGAGTATGAAATAACTCCTGGTTCTTGATTATATTCAGAATGAAGGCCCATGATATTATGGAGACGAGTATAACATACATGTTTCCCCACACACGGATACTCTCATTAGTAAGCATTCTGAAGACGACGTGTCACCATGCCTACCCTGTCGTTACTATAGAAACAAAAGATGAAACTGAGGAAATCTTATTGGCTGAACAAAATATGGTTGCCAGTCAGAATATTAAGTTTCGAGTAAGTTTGAATTGTTCCTTGTTCAAATTGTGTTATTGTACAAATTGTGTTATGTTGAAGAAGTTGTTTATTTCAGAAATGAGATGTTATTTGTAATTCTAGAACTACTTATTTTGTGTATCCTCTCCCAATCTGATCAGTTACTTAATGAACAAAAAATAAAATTCATGTTTGTGTAATCAATTAATGTAATCATTGGATGTCAAGTTGTGTAGTCATAACTGTCTACCTCAATTAGGATCACAAAACGTATTGTTAATATCATTTGACTTCTCAAAAATTATTTGAAGCATTCGTAATAGAAACACCTCCCGGTCTGAGCCCTTTTTTTTGAGTCCCATTTTTTCCTCCCATTGACTCTCGTATTTAAAAAACCTTGAAATGTGAACACCTCTTAATAATTTGAATATTGAACAGTCAATTTCGAAAAATGATCTTATCTGAACACTTTTCATAAAATATCACATGTTTAATGCAAAATTACTCAAATATTTTCGATTAAACATTGATTTGTTATATCAAAACCTTTAGAAAAAACATTAAATGGTCTCAGTCTTGAGTGAAATGCATGAAAAAACTCATTCAACATAGAAAAAGTGGTCCCTTTACAACTCTGTTCCCTGGTCAAAAATGCATAAAAGTTTATTTTGGGGAAAATTTTTTGACATAATTGATAATGATTAATCAAAATCCTAGCACCAGTATAAATACTTATCTGACAACTTAATTTTTTATGGTACATAAGATTGTAAATTCTGATTTTTTGAAGATCTTCAAATCAAAAATTTGTGTCAGCCTGGAACAAATTCATTAGCTTAGTTCACTCAAATATTCAGATAACGAAATAACTTATACTCTTTATTATTAATTATAGGTTTTTGGATGGTAAAATTATCCCAAATTGTTTCCATTAACCAAATGTGAATGAAGATTAATCTCTGGATGAATAGAGTTAAAGTAATTCTTAGCATGTGTCACTTGCATATTGGTCTATTTATTATTCAACTTCACTTGTCTAATAAAACCCAACGCATTGGACAATTGGAGTATGCATCTTACGATATTCTTGTTGATGTGTGAAGTAGTATGCAGGAGTCGTATGTTTCATTTTAAAGGTGGTCATGTCAGCTTTTGTTTTTAGAAAAAAAGTTTGTTAACTCGTGCAGAGGAAGAACGTAAAAGACGAACATCCTCGATGACTGATTCCATTCAGTCTATTCCAGAGGAGCCACATCCTTCCCATGAGCCTTTGCACCTGGCTCAGCAGCCCCATCTATCCCATTTATTGAGCAAACCTAGGGCACACAGCACAAATTCTCTTGATTTAGAGGACAGAAGGTAATAATTTCTGTTTAGCTCGAAAAAAAGTTTTTAATCTGTAAATGACCATTTAAAGGTAGCATGTAATATTTGTGATGGCAATAACCTATTAATTTAGCTTAAAAGTATTGTTGGTTTACTCAGTTTTAGATGAGAAAGGATAATTCAATCAAATTAATCGCCTGACTTTAGGGACTATTTTATTGTGTTTAGCAAATGAGTTAAAACGTAGATTCTGAGCTAATACGTAAACGACAGTCATTAAAACAAGCGCTGATTCTAAAGGGACTTCTTCGGAATTCCTGATTGAAAAAGGCTGTCTGTAAACAAATAGCTTAATTGGTAATTTTTCTTTATTTGTACCTTTGATTAGAAATACATGATTAAGTGCAAGAAACATTTCATCTGTGATTATGACATTAATAAAAAGTCATACTTTTGATTATGTATCATGGGGAATATTTAGTAAACATGTATTTTACTGTGTTAGTAATAGATCTTATACTTTAAAATTGCATGCTGATTATTTTATGCTTAAACGAAATTGTTAACTTCTGTACAGTAGAATAACAAAATTGTACTTAAATGACATTATTTACTCTAGGATATGTATATTTTTCTGTATCATGTCTTGGAAATTGTGATTCTCATATAACCATTCTTCCATTGGTTCTTTAACTACAAACTCCTTTATATATACTAAATAGGGCAAGGTTATAAGAATTCATTTATTACCTATTTCCAGTACTTTTCTTATTGTAATTTCACCATACACGAGGGAAATGTGTATTTGGATAATTATTAGTATGTTTTAGGTAATTTTGTATTTTCTTGTTATTTTTAGGAACCCCTATAGTACATTATCGCTTGATGATACTCAACGGTTTGAGGACCAATACAGACCCCTTAGATTCCATGGGATGATTCTGCGCTCCCATCTTATTATGCTGCTGAAAAATAGAGTTTCATACCAGGAAAATATAGAGGTAAACCTTCTAGCATAAATATTTTCAATTCCTCTAAATCTCTTGAAATATTTCACTGAAGAGGTTAATTCAGGCTAGTTATTTGATTCACAAAATCATACATTGAAATATGTTTATACTACTTGGTTATTATATAGTCCATTACTTCTGGGACAACCCTCGTGTAAAACTAAAAAGGGTACAATATTAACCAACAGTTTGACAGGCAAGTCGGTGGGCAGTAGGTGGTGTCACTATTTTCTTGCTCTGCATTTTAAGAAGCACGAAGGATTGATTTGTTTTTTCAAGATGTTACTTGGTATGAAAATCTCTGATTAGTTTTAGGGCATGCTTGATCCATTTTTGATTTTTAGGTACACTATTGTTCGCTCTGTGCAGTGTTTTAGACATGGTTGTATATGCATTTTTATCCCATGCCAAGTAGAGTTTTAGGGAGATGAGTTGGTAAGATATATCCCGTATCCTGATTTTGAGGTTTCAATATCCAGAACCTCCATATCTCCCGCCATATCTCCCGCTTCGGTGCATATCTTCCCGCTTCCGGTAATGCAATAAAATGACTTTACATATGAATGATTTGTTTATTTTTACACCTTGTTCTATTGAAATGGCCATATGCCCCTGAAAACTCAACTTGGTATAGGATTGTGAGATATGCACATCTGTCTTCGGTCCCTACGGTCCCTCAGGTAGATATGCATATCTCCCTCTGGATAAACCCCATATCCAAAACCTCCCAGTACATAACCCTTATTTAAACACTACATTCCATAGAAATCAAGCTTAGAGGTCATGGCAAAAGGAGTTAAAAATATTAATATTGTGCAATAATTTTCATATATATTTTCATTTTGTCCTATTGGTCAGATACATGCTCCCTAAAATGCATTGTACATTAAACTAGAACAATGACCCCTCATTTGCTTAAAATGAATCACAAATAGAGACATTTGTACATATGATTTAAATCCCATTAGAGAATACATTGGAGACACTTAACAGCCCATACATTTTAAATTGAATAACGTGAATTCCAATTGCACTTACCATTTTCAGTATATCTTGTGACCTGAATTATTTGACTTCATTATTACAACATAAATGCTTTCAGATTTACAACATGGTATATTTTAATAGGATTATCACTTTCTTTATTCCCATATCATTTAGTTAAGTGTCTTTAAAATGGAAATAAATGCTTGCTGCTATATGGAATATGAACCATATTATCATTATCTCAAAATTCGTCATATGCCACTTTCCTGTATGGTACTACTTCATCCGAGCACTGATTGAATTTCAATTTATGAACATATTTACTTTACAGGAACAGGCCCTGGCCATAATTTCTCCAACATGCATGCAGTTTTCACCCTTAGGAACACTTCAAATGATCTTGGGCCAAAATTGTCAAAGAATCCCCCGAGAAACATGAATTTCTCAAAGTACAAATAATCAGTAATCTTTTTTCTTTCCTAGTTGCATTTCTTGTGACAAATCCATGGGCATGGGGGGGGTGGGGGTGCATTCACAGCCATCGCACCCCCTCCCCCTGGCTACGTCCATGATATCTTCGGAATAGTCCAAAAAAGAGATGTTTTATTTTGAAAATCTCACTAAATGGCAGTAAATTCATGATGGTGTCAATGTCACCATATTTTTAGAACACTTATCTCATGTGGAGAATTCATCGTTTAATTTGCAGAAAATTGGGACAAATGCATATTGAAGATAACACATAGAGTATTGTGGATGATTGTTGTGCATTTTTGGACTGTTTTAGCTATTGCAATTAAATAATAGATTTACCAGCAAACATAATATATTTACAAATGGAGTGTTTATTAACAGAAGTACACATGTACATGTATATACTTTAACAATACATCAGATCATTTCAAGTCCAAACTCTTTTATTGTATTAACAAAAGAATTTCTTTTTGATTGGTGTAACAGATAATTTCAAAATTTACCGTAACTAAGCCACCAATAGAATGTAATTATGACAACTAAGCAATTTTTTATTTTATAGATATTAATTTCTGTATTGATACCCTGTGTAGATAAAACACAATTTGATTTACCTAGCAACATTTTTAAAAGAAACTTGAGGTGGCTTTGTACACTGTATAGTGTATACTTTGCATAAATCTTTTTTCTATCATCTTCTAGTAAACTATTGTCTGAATTATGGGCAAGTCTAAAAATTTGGTATATGCCAAAATTGTCAAAATTGGGAGTGAACCTCATTTTCTCCAGTTGTTTTTCTGCTTTTGAGACTTTCGGAATGTTTGGGAACTGTTTTTGTAAAAATATCACCCATCTTTTGCTTGACCACCTGAAAATAAAGAACAAAGTGTTAAAAAAAAGTCTATATGAATTTGCATATATTGAGTAATCCATATTGTACTATGTAAAGAAACTTACCAACTGTAAGGACATTTTAAGAGCAACAAAATGAATCAATTAGTTTTCATTTACAACTGAGAAAATACTTAAATGTTTTCAGGGTACATTCCGTGTCTTGTCTTCATACATACTGTTTCAAATCATGTCTAAAAACATGAACGCAAGAATTGTTACGAGTTCATACAATTATCGCCTAATAAGTACGTCACGATTTATTCCAGTGTTATTTAAATAGAATGGTGTGTATAGATACTTGGTTTTCTCCACGGAATCACTACGTTTAAGCACACATTGTTTCTTTTAGCTAATTCCTTGAAAAATAAATTACTATGTAGATACGAAATAAAAATCAATTAGACCGAGTTTTCTAGGTAGTATTTGCGAACAACTGCTGTTTTATGTCCCCTTATCATCTATTTGATGGAGATATAAGGGAGAGTTCAATCTTGAATGCATCTATGGCCAATGCCGATGATCTCAAAGGTTAAACCACTTTGTGAATTACTGACTTTATTAGGCATTCTCAATTAATCATACTATCACATTCAAATTCTTATCTCTCCCCATCGATGGATAAAACTATTAAATTAATTCTTGATCTCTATTGATGTATTATGGATAGCCTGTGATATACTATATTTACACATGGCACTCGGATTCAGTTTGCTATGAACTTTTCATTTTGGAAATCTGATCTTATTTTTCCTGGTATTTAAGTGTTAGAAATGATAAGAGCACTTCATATCTTCATCACCTCTATGCAATGAACTCAAAACGATAACTTTCACAAGTTTGTTCTACTTTTACCGATGTTGCATAGCGATGTCTGAGGACTTTGATAAGCTACTACGGTGACAAAATATCCAAAAACGGATAATAGTGTTTTTCTGACTCAATAAAGCATCAAAAGACATTCTCTGATTGGTATGAATTAGAAACATTTATTATATGAAACAAGCTTGAAGCCAAAATTTATTTTATGATATAAGGATCAATTTTAGTCCACTGAAAAAGCCACAAAGGGCAAAATTTATTTTTATGATACATAATTCAGTTCTAAACTATAGGTATCAGGAAAAAGCACAAAAACTATTTTATCACAGTAAGAAATCTATTTCATATTATAATAGCCAATGGGCAACAATTTCTTTAAAACACTAGGTGTGGAATTAAAATTACCATGTAGGGTAGCCTAGTTCCAAGAATTTACTTCTCCTTGGTGACAGCTTGGATCTTTGCACGCCACATTGCAATGAGGTTCTCCATATCATTTAGTACTGCTTCCATATTCTCTTGCCTGAGACTGTCAATCTGCTCCATTCTACTTTGAATGATGTCTTTCAGGTCGATTTTCTCATTTCCTGGAATCACAAACAAAATTTTCTTTTAAAAATCAGTCCGTTTTATCAAATCAACAGATTGGTCCTATGATTAAGATAATCAAATATCTGATTCTTGTCCAGGTTTTTTTGATAGAATTGTGCAAAGTAAGTGAATAGTTCATTTATGTTTAATTTGATAGAGTTTAATATTCTTGACCATATATACTCGGGGGGTTCACTCTTAATAATTCTGGTAGGTATGTGCAGCATGAGAGAACCCTTTTTAAGTCAAAAATCAGTTTTTCTACAAAAAATGGTAATAAATCGGTAAAATCAGTTTGCTAGGTCTGGGAAAAATCATCCAAAATGTGGATTTTGTAGTTAATATACCAATTTTTCAGGAAATTTATGCCTTTTTATAAGTCTGAGAGAAAGTGTACATGGAAACTTTCAATCTTGAGAGGGAATTAACATGGAAAAAAGCTCAAAAAAGGGGGTCTTTGGCATGGTACATAGGTTTTAAGAGGTATATTGGAGTGAAACCCCCAGATATATACAATGCTTACTATTAATGAATGACTCCACAGAGACAGGGAATAGTTTATGCCAATTTTAAGTAAAGTGCTTTTAACACAAATCAATTTAATTATTTAACACCTTGGAGACTAGTCAGTTTCAGTTTCTAGACTCGTAAATATGAACACTGTTACAATTGTCACCCATTAAAAAAAGTTGTTATTTTTGTTTACCTATTTAGTCTATGTCATATATTATTTTAAAGATTTTATTCCAGACTACAAGACATACTCAAAAGATAAATCATACTTAATTAGATTTATTATAACATCCTGATTTAACATGGCAATCTATTTGTTGAAAATAAATAATTTGAAATTTCCTATTTTCTTAAATAAACTTTTTTTCAGAATAGGCACACTTATGATTATACATGTATACAATTTATCCAGCATATAAATAAGCTTTCCAAAACAGGCAGTGGTAACCACCAAACAAAAATTGAAATGTTAGAAACATCACATTTGTCAACATTTGTCAATGTTCAATGTTCAAAAGGTTATAATTTAGATTTTAGATCAATTCTTACATGTATATTTCTATAACCTCAAGAAACCTTCAAGAAGTTAATGTCTATTCAGCGCAATCAGGCTGATAATAAAATATTTTACAATATGATTAAGAGCAATCTGCTAAGAGGATAGAGTCAAAGTTTAATTTTCCTGTAAAAAATCACTTAATTTTACTACCCACTATTGTTGTAAAACAGTAGTATTTGACCATTGCTCATTTGCACATGTTTCACACAGCCTACATATATTGTTACCTTAAAGGATTTCTACAGAAGAGATAAGTCACAATTCTCTTTCATTTACACATAGGATAAATCACTGAATATTTCTAGCAACACACAAGTGTGTAATTTATAGTAAAGTGCCTGCAAATAAGATTGAAGATTTGGTTCTTAGTATATCAAACTTCCTTCCAACTTGCATGGGCATGTATTATTTTATTATGAGAAGAATTGTGCAGGTTGGATGTATGTTTAAGTATTTCATACCTACTGAGGTACTAGGTACATAACGAGCAGGAATATATAGTGTATCTAGGGAGCTATTACCAAGGCCCGGGACCGGGATGGATACACGCTGTATCCATCCCGGTCCCGCTCCAAAATTTTTAATCAACATTTTTTTCAAATTTTTTTTTCAATTATTTTTTTTCCAAATTATATTCAAAAATTTTTATCAACATTTTTTTTCAATTTTTTTTAAAATTTCAATTTTTTTGAAAATCTCGCAAACTTTAAGAATAAGAAAACGCGTACCTTAAGTATGTTTTGGAATTTTGGAATTTTGAAAGGTATGATGTACCTAGAACCTCGGTAGGTATGAAATACATCTGTTATGTACGGTCGGTTTTGGATACAGGGCTTATCCCGCGGGGAATATGTGTATCTCCCTCGGTCCCTGCGGCCCCTCGGGAGATACACATATTTCCCTTGGGATAAACCCTGTATCCAAAACCTCCCAGTACATAACCCTTATTTATCCTATGCCAAGTAGAGTTTAAGGGAGATAAGTTGGTAAGATATATCCCGTATCCTGATTTTGAGGTTTCCATATCCAGAACCTCCATATCTCCCGCCATATCTCCCGCTTCGGTGCATATCTTCCCGCTTCCGGTGCATATCTTCCCGCTTCTGGTAATGCAATAAAATGACTTTGCATATGAATAATTTGTTTATTTTTACACCTTGAACTATTGAAATGGCCATATGCCCCTGGAAACTCTACTTGGTATAGGATAAAGCAGTTATGTACGGTCGGTTTGGATATTGGGTTCATCCCTTGTGAGATATGCACATCTACCTTCGGTCCCTACTGTCCCTCAGGTAGATATGCATATCTCCCTCTGGATAAACCCCATATCCAAAACCTCCCAGTACATAACCCTTATGTATGTTACATCATTGGATGGGATATTTGGTGTTTTTCTTCATATCTGATTATACTTATTCTTTTGGGTTATTGATACCTTAACAGGTACAACAATTAGTGCAAAGAAGATGTTAAGCCAAATATTGACCTGATAGCTCATAAAAAATAAAAATTTACGAATTTTCTCTCTACAGTCCTTGTTGCCCCTTTAAAGATTTCCCTTTTGGCCATTAAGTTAACAGAATTGTTTTATATCAGTGTGTAAACATCATCAGTGTCAGTGACCAGTAGCCAGTGAACTTCATGTGTCTATGGACCACCATACTGTTCTGTTTGCATAGAAGTTTATTATTGGAATTGGAATTGGAATATTTTTTGTTATTGTTTGGCCATCTTAATCAATAACAAGGTACAGTAATTGATTGAGGAACATCAGTTGATAACTTATTACTATAGCCTCTAGAGAGGATTTGGATTAAATCGATGTAAAATTGATTGAAACATTTTGATATCAATAATGATTTCACCAACTTGCTGAGAAAATCAAACATTTCTGAGTTCCCCATGGTGATTTCAGTGATACAGGAAAGTAAAAAACAAAATTTGATTTTGGAATCAATTTTTTATTTACAATGATGTCATGGTTGGTATGGCAATACTTTGGCTGGTGGCCTTTATGGATATTATCTTGTAGATCCTCAGGGAATAATGTTGTTTTAAAGTTGAAAACACTTGATACTTCATTCCTCAGAGATTTGCAACAAAAGATTGTTTGACTGTTTGTTAATTATAGTTTCGTGGTACATTATTTGCTCAAAGCGAAATGTTTTACTTCATATATCAAGTCTGCCTTCAATAAGTAATTTTTTATTTTAGTATTTCAGATTGGTATCTTTTGTTCAGCATGGCAGAGTTTGGTAAAAAATAAGTATGATATGTGTACCTAGTTACCAACTTTAGATATTGCCTAATATGGCATAATACTTTTTGATATAAGATATTAGTATATTTTTCTTTTATAATTATATTTAATTGTAAGCTAAAATGATATAAAACTTTATGGTGGATTAAGTAAAAGTGTTTTAGTTATTTGCATAATAATTACACGGTATATTACATATAAAAAGGTGTATGTTAATGCTTACATTAATTGCATTCCAAAAGATTATTAATACATATTGGAGATGATTCAAAATGTCTTGATAAATGTGTACACATTCTTTTTAAGTGGTTATTTATGAAGTGAGTATACTTAGTTTTTTACTTAATCCCCTGAAACTGAAAGATGGAAGATAAAAATTTTTTATTGAAAAATGTGTTGTCACATGGCAACCAAAGGGACCACTTAAAGCATAAATATAAAACTCCCAAGTTTTCATAACTAATTTATTAGCTGATATATTGTTATAATCATGTCATGGAAAACTTGTCAAAATATTTCTTGTGCCTCCAGGATGAATGATGATCATGATGTTCCTTTGCGCCAGGGCTTTTATACAACTTTTTAATTGATCCACCATGCTGAAAGTTTCCAACGAGACAGGCATATATTGGTTGTAACATATTAGCTTCAGGATGGTAAAAATTAAAACAAATAAACAATGTATCCCTGATTGTACATGTTTTATACTTCAGACATTAAACAGTCAGATTGAGGTAATTAAAGTTGAAAGGTAAATTAAAATATTTCATTTAAATATATATTTCCACCATTATAACGATGACAACTTTATCAACATTACTGCTAATCACTAAAATACCTCAATAATTATGAACAAATTTTGTATCACTTTTTTAACTACCTTCTTGCCAGTCCAAAAATAGTTCAGTATATGAAAATTGTACAAACAAGTTTCTGTCAAACATTAGCTCATATATTTGAGGCATTAATAGTTTTGTATCAGCCATTTTGCCATTCTTGTGGCTCTCTGAGCTAAAACAAACAGAATTGACTAATCATCAGGTTGAATCTTGATTATTCTGTTTGAAGTATCCGCCTTGAATGTTTTGACAATAAGTTGAGGTAAAACAACCAGCTCATCAATAGGCTCATATATTGGGGGTAGCTATTGATTCCATAATGATGTATCTTCTGTAATACAATTAGCAGGATTAATAATAGAAGCGGAACCATTAGTGCCATATTTGGCTTACTAATCACCTCTTATTGAGGTTGAATATTGCGTCTAAAGACATAATTGATTTAAACTAGTTCATGTTCTCTGTAAATGTGATCATAAAGGTCCTTTAGATCAATTCAGCTATTTCGGTTTTGAACTAAGTGAACGTCTTTCCTCTCTGCCAGGTAAATGATGTAAGTGTTACATAATGCAGTATGGTAATATAGTATCCTGATAGAGAGAGGGAAGGGTAAAGAGAATAAGAGAGAATTCTACCTAAGGTAGAACTTCAATGCCCATTGCGCAGTCAGTTCGCGCATATCTGATGCCAAAAACGAAAACTGAACAAATCATTTTCCTCAAGATCTGGGTGGTAAATATTCATAAATATTACAACAAATACTTTTGTATTCGTAGAGAATAATCACAATTTTTGAAGAAAATCTGAATTGTGCAATTTTTG